TTACGGTTAACCGTTCGACCGGTTATTCACGGTTACGGTTAACCGTTCGACCGGTTATTCACGGTTACGGTTAACCGTTCGACCGGTTATTCACGGTTACGGTTAACCGTTCGACCGGTTATTCACGGTTACGGTTAACCGTTCGACCGGTTATTCACGGTTACGGTTAACCGTTCGACCGGTTATTCACGGTTACGGTTAACCGTTCGACCGGTTATTCACGGTTACGGTTAACCGTTCGACCGGTTATTACGGTTATGACCGGTTACGGTTAACCGTAACCGGTGCATGCCTATTTCCAATATCATTGATATTAAGCTCGTTATTAATCGATTATTAAGGTCCCAATACGCTTCCTTGTGGAATACCTCTGTTTATAGATCTCAAACTTGATTGTTTACCATTTACTACTATAATAATCTTCCTATCGCTGAGATAACTCTTAAATCATTCTAACATCGAACATCTAACTCCTTTACTTTCTAATTTTTTTAACAGTCCTTTTATCCAAACTCTATCAAACGCTTTCGAAAAATCTAAAACACTGCCTTAGTCATTTTAGATTGTTCTGCTTCTAAATAAATTGATTGAACTCGGTCCACTAGCTGGTTTATTGTAGAATCATTCCTAATAAATCCGGATTGTAACCGAGAGAGAACATTGTTTTTCTTTAAGTGCTTGTAAAGATGAAAATGTACTACTCTTCCGAAAACTTTACTAAGCGCAGGTAACAACGTGATAGGTCGATAGTTTGAAGGAGACGATCTTTGTAGGCGAACTGCAAAAATCAACTTCATTGTTCTTGACTGAAATTCTGTTTTGGCTATGCCAGAATGATAATCGGATTAAAATAATTTATTTTATTTTTCCATCGAAATAATAAAAATTAAAAGGTTAACAAAGAAGAAAAAAAGACTTAAAAAAGGTTGAAAGATGGCAAGGTGGCTCGGTTATTCTCTGAACAAAAACGTTTTCAATACTTCATCAGTTGGCCAGAGAAAAAAATTGAGCGGGAATGCGATTCACATCGGTTAATAAAGTGAATAGGGTGAATAGATAAGAGAAGAATGCTCTTGGAAGATGCATAACTGTTTGTGCATGCAGTATATGAGTGGTAGGTAATAAAAAGAATATGGAATATTTTGATGATTCGGGAGTGGAATGTGAGCACCAGAAAGAAATGAAACTATCACAGGATGGGAAAGAAAGAGAGAAATGAGGCGGTGTGAGAGTGAGTCCGGGGTACTTTTCGCATTGAGTATTTATTATCGCGATTGGCGAGTAAGAAAAAGTGAGGAAAACACATCTGAGCTAAAGTTCTATAAGAGATAGAAGTAATTGTTTTCTTAGTCTATTCCCATTGCTTGTAATTGTCTTGAGGGTACTTCATATGGCTTTGAAGCGGTATTCAGTTTTTGTATATGTGTGTGAGGAGACGGTGATAACCGGGGCCGCTGATTGTAGTCCTCCATTGGGATGATATAGGGTGCTTCACCGGCGAAAGTGGCATCTGCTGTTGTCCGTCTTTTATCAACTCCAGTCATGATTGCCATTGCCCGATATTTTCTTACATGTCTTTTAATAAATTGGACTATGAAGTATCCAATGGCAGCAGCGATAATTTACGCGATGATCATAATCAGAATATCGCGCCAGTTGAAATGGACGCGTTCATTGTGCTGTCCACTGACGTTATGCAAATCAATGTTGATTACACCTGAATTGATGTTTTTATGTTCGGTACCAAAAAGCATTGCTTCTGAGGCTTAAAACTGATTGGCGAAAATGAGGATGTGAGAAAAAGGGTGTAAAAAAAATTGCACTTCTATTTTGAGAGATTGAAGAGACGATAAAAAATAGCTCGCATATTCATCATGTGAGGTGGAAGCAATGGAATGGTAGGATTATTTCCGCTGATAACATTCTATTCAAAGATAAGTTTGAGAATATTCTGAGGACGTTTGATGGGTGCAAATTCTCATTCTATCAGTTATACATGATGGGGAAATAATTTGATTATTTTGATTGTAAAATTTTGCATGAAGGCTTTTTACGAACAAGGATTTGCGTGAGATTTGGAGTCAAACGGTATCCTAAAACAGGGTTGATAAATGCGAGTGGTGTCTCTCGAAAAACACTATCCCATATACCACGCAATCGAGCACCGAAGCACTCTAATGCTGGTATATAGGAAAAATGGATCAACGGATCTGTTTCCCAATTTACAGTATCATGCAGGAGTTATAGTTTTGGGAGCGATGAAAGGTACTTTTAAGGAGAAGGTGTAGGGAATATTAGGATGGAATACATTAAAAATCATTTTAAAATATTTCGGCTGATAACACTGCAAAAAATGCGTTGTATGAAGAAGAACCTTTTGCCGTTCTGTGAGCTACGGATTTTATTAGAGAGCATACATCTTCATACGTCCCCATACATCTTTATAGATCTCCATACATTTTCATACATTCCCTGTATGTATGAAGATGGATGAAGATGTATGGAGATGTATGAATGATATTATAATAAACGTATAAAAAGATCTTCAAGAATAGAAGTATCGCGATGTATGAAGAAGTATATAGAGGTATTTGCGGGAGTATGAAAATATTTCACGAATTTTGAGTTTTCAGCAAGGGAAACTACCCATCCTGTGCTTATGTCAAGGTTGTAGAATAACCTGGACATAACAATCCTACTGCTACACTATCTGATGATAACTGATGTGAAATGAATTTGCAAATTAATTGCAAAAATTCTTTTTCATTTTGTTGGTGGGGTTGTAACTGAATCGTTGTTGTATCATGAAAATATTTTCTTAAATGCTTTTCACGTCGTTTTGTTTTTGCTTTTTCACAATAATTTAAACTTGTATTAAGGTCAACTGGGCGCCGATAGAGTACATTTTTAATTTTAATTACTGGATGCATTTTAACAGCTAATAAATGCGACCATGTACGGAGTGATATTATTGCTCTTGATCGATCTAATATTAATGTTGTTGCGGTCTTATTATTCAACTGAGCAGGAAATGTTTGGAACAGACATTGTACAGGATCAATTAGAATTTGATTAATAAAATTTAGAGTAGATTCAATTTCTTCATCACTAAGATGGTCAATCATATTATTCTTATCAATAAAAAAGTTCCATAACTGTTTATTTTCCAATGATTCTTTTAGTTTTTGAAATAAACATTTTAAATTTATCCAAATTGTTGTTATAGACCATTCGGGAAAATATCTACCATTTTGAACGGATTGTTCACATGTCCAAAATAATAAAGTTTTTAAACAATATGAATTTAGACGATTATCAGTAACATTAGTTGCAGTCTAAAACAAATCAGAATAACAGTGAAATACAGAGTCAGTTTCAGTTTTAGTAGGGTAAATCCTCACCCTTTTCCTTTTGTCCCCTTACTCTAATTGTAGCCGATTATTACTTGACAATCGTACCTGTTGATTTCTTGTTTGTCCATATTTATTTAAGTATTTCAATATTCGGTAGGTTATTAATATAAACTCATTTCGTTTTTGTAATTGTTCACTTAATAATGCTTCTAAGATAGAAAATGAATAACGCCATTCGAAGACTGGTAGCAATGAAAATCGATGTGCAACGGGTACTAGGCAACAATATAGTTGACGTCGTTCATCTTTACGGCGAAACACTTTCTTTCGATTTGGCCATGATGGATTTATCCTTTGTCGACATTTAAAATTTTTAGCTTGACATGGCCAATCTGAACAGGGTAATGCATATACAAGATCAATTTCTCTAGTAATAATTGTCTGATCATTGTCAGCAACAACTCGAGTTTGACATGTCATTGTTATGGCTGGTCCATGTTGAGTCATATCATGTTTAAAATCTGGTACTGAAACTAATTCTTCACCTAAAGTATTTAAACCAAATAACAAAGCACCTAATAAAATTTCTTTGTGGTCATGAGAATGTTGTAATGGTTGTTGACTTTGTTTTTCTACTATCTGAACATATCCGATATGTGAACCACTTTGTTCATTGACTTGATATTGACATTCGGTACGAGAATGATTTGGACTTGTATCAATCCATTTATTCATATCTAATATCAATAAATCAAAATCTGATGGTAAGTGACCCTTATCATGACGTCATTCATAAAAGACGCCGTTCAATAGGAAAGAAAGTTGTAGAAATGGATCTCGAGTTTTTCTTATGCAAAATCTCCATTTGAACTTTTTTTTGAACATCAGTTGTTTTTATTGGGAATCATCGGATAATAGGTAATTTGATATGAGGTCACATAAAAGGCTTTACTCAGTTTTTCAAAATGCGAACTTTTGGGTTTTTTATATCTAAGCCGTCAAAATTTGTAAGAAGTCATTGGTTGAAAATTTTCAAAAACCAGAATAGTCCATGGTGTTTGCCATGACACATAACGTTTTCTCCGATGTTCTGTTAAGAAAATTTATACATAGAACACGTGACGTCTAAACGTGAAACCTCTTCCAATACGCAGACAACTACTGTACTACTTACATAAATCCATTGCAAGTCCGAAACAGTGTATATTTCCCCGCCCCTAATGTTCTTTTATAAGGGCAGAGTGTCGGGTCGATCAATTTTCGCTGAAAACCTAGCGCCACACTCACTCCTCTTTTTTCCATCAATCTTCGGAGAGAAATTTCGCAAAAGTCTGATTAAACGCTGACATCTTAGACAAAAAAAGTAGAAATTCGAATTTAAAAATCTAAGTAAGCCATTTTGTAGAGTACATCAAATAACCTACAAATAGGTGTTTTAAATAAAAAAGTTTCTCTACTGATTTTGAGCTGGTTTTTTTCAGGAAGAAGAATTTGGATCGAAAATTTGTTATAGTAGAGTTATGAGATAGAATAATGGATGAACGTCCTTTAAAGAACGTCCTTTAAGAAGGAACATTATCAACAGTATTACGTTCTCTACCCATTTCTGACGTTCCTTGTTCAACAATGCTAGCAAGTTTCTGGTCATCACAGTGGTTGTTATCGTTGTCATTTTCATCATATTGATAAAATCGGCTTTCTGTTTCACGAAATGGTGTTTGAATATCAAATGATTCAATAAAACTACCAGAAAAGTAGGGATGATAATTATGATCAATAGCTCTTCGTTTAAATTCCTTAAATTGTTGATGAATAAAATCATCTTCAGCTATTTCGTTATCAAAACCATAATTGTGACCATATTCACGAAATTCTTTCAACAATTCTTGTGTAATATTCCAACGTTCTTTAATTGAATGTTCGAAAGATCCAGATTTTGTTGGACCAAAAAAATATAACATCCAACTAAGATCTTTATCCGAACAGTTAGTTTTCGTCATTATTTCTGTTTCTGGTTCATAAAATCATCTGTTTTCTTACAAAAAAATTGATCTTTTTAGTGACCAAATGGAAAATTTTCAACACCTAGTTTCTTTGTTTTAAGTAAATATTTGCATTTTGTTTGAAATGAAGACTTTTTTGTTGTGAGTTTCTTCCAACTTCTGTTTGATTTTGATATAAAACAAAAACAAAGGTAATGAAAGAATTTCATTATTCCTTCTCTTTTTAACTAGCAATACTGAATTCACACAACTATTCTAATCTGTTAAAAACATCATATTCAGTAACGTGTCATCCTCGTTGAGACACGTAAAAAATTTCTAACGTCTTTAGTCGTAGCTTCAATACCAAGGGGGAAAAGGTGGATCCGGGATCCATGCGGATCTTTTTGGATCCATGCGGAAACCCGGATCCGCTTTTTCCCCCTTGTTCAATACTCTCTTTCGGGAGTTCACCTAAGCCAACACAGTTATTTATCTCTATCAGTTCAGCACTGTGAAAAAGAAGATTATGTACAGTTAGATTGTGCTCGATAAAAGGATATTCTTCCGCAAGAACTAGAGTGAATGTTAAAGTAGCTTTTCTTAAAATTTTCAAGTCTATCGATTTTGTAGAAGAGACAGCTCTTAGTTCATTGAATAAAGTTTTATAAGTGTGCCTGCACTTTCTTGATCATCTTTTGGGACACACTCAATTACTTTTTCACGTAGTTCGTAACTAAAAAAGGACGGTCTTGTTGCCCTATAGTACTCGTTTCAGTATTTCCAAAACCAACGCACTGATCTAGCTTAAGACCAGTTTTATCTTGCAAACTTTTCAAAAACAAATCCTTCGACTTATTTAATTTTGCTGATTCCAAGGAGCGCTAGCAGCTCGCTTTATTTTGTTCACCGATTCGGTTTCCCACCTATCGATCTCTGTGAAGAGAGGATGTTTTATCGTTGAGTCCGAGGTGTTTTGTAGCTGATGCTGAATGAGATTGTGCTCGAAAACGATTGTCTCCAGTCGCTTTGCTAATTCTTCTCGATGTTCGTTTGAATACTTTCGACAAAACTTTTGTTACAACCTTCGCATGCAAAAATGCCAATCGCTTTATCGCATGTTGAATGAGCACATGGTGTCTTGGATGCCGTGGATGGCTTCCACTAGAACTATGAGACAGTAGGAGTAGAGTACCAAGGCAGATTGAGGCCGAGAGATAGTACTAGCGAAAGAGTTCCTACTGTTTAGAATGAGTTAGTTGTTAAACGGTGAGCTTAACCAGGTCCAAAACCTGTTTGTGATGTCGATTACAAACATTTTCACTAGTCAGGAAGCGGTTGTGTTATGAGACATTTCTTTCATAAGAGAAGGGCATAAATTCATGGGCACGTTCGAAAAGTGATGTTATCTACCTTGGAAAGTATTGTGGTTGTGTGTTGTGCAGTTAAAGTATGTTGTTTCGATGTGATAAAAGCAAAGCGTGTGTTCTTGACCATTATTTTTGTTGATTGAATACAGAACGATGTTTGTTGACACCGAGAGAAAGGAAAGAACTTCAGACATGTGAAGTCGTTGAATAAATAAGGGCATGAAATATAAAAGAAAAGAGTGATAAAGAAAAGGTTTTACTTTTGCGGACAGCTTTTGATGTGTGATGTCTGCTGCTCGAAAATGAATACTTGAGAAAAGGTTTCACGAATAAATCGAGTTCAGATAACTTCCTACAAAGGTGAGATTTGAACTATTCTAGACAGAAGAGAGGAATGTTTCTTCAAAATGACAAAAAACGAGAACTTAAAAGAGTCTTGATATGTCACACTTGTTTTGTTTTTGCAGAGGGAAAAAAGATTTGATCAGAATAGTCCAAGAGGGAAAAGTATGTTTAATTGCCAGCGATGTCATGATATGGATACAGAGTGCATCTGCTGAAACTACAGGTCTCAGAGTAGGAACACATGTATTCGTGAAAACTTTATATATATACAATATGTACACATTCATCTATATATGTCCATAGAATGAATACATATCAAGGATTAGAGTTTGGGATTTTACTCGATACAAAGTCTGTATGCGTTTCATATCTACAAACGGTGATTGCCTTTATACATTCAGAATGTTACTTCTACACAAATTAATCAATCTGATGTAATCATTTATTCATAGGCAAAATATATAAAAGTATCAATCTTGTTGCACGAAGTATAAATTCAGTATAAATCAACGTAAACAAATTAGAAAATCTTAGTTAATAGATATTTTGCTTCTCATTTTTCTTTTATTCTATTTTATTTTTGTTAGTGTGTGAGTTTATGTTACATTTCCCACTAACGAGGGAGGTCCACCAACTTATAAATCGTTTTCCAGTCAAAACCTAATTGACTATAGGTAATCAACCATGCTGATTCCGAATATCACCATGACTGCTGCTGTTAGGTCTTCAAAGATCGGTTTTTTGGAAAACCAGTCTTTCAGAAACTTTAAAAAATAACCAAAACCTTTTCTTAATGCTGCGCGACTGTAACCCGCACATTTCTGATTAAAATGAGACGTCCCCCAGCTCTACACGACCTTTCTTTGCAAAATTATAGAATTTGCAAGAAGCCATAAATGTTCATTGTCAGCTCAAAGCTACAGAAATAAGAAGAAATTAATGTAGGGCTTTTCTTGTAAAATCTATAACTTTGCAAAGAAAGGTCGTGTAGAGCTGGGGAACGTCTCATTTTAATCAGAAATGTGCGGGCTACAGTCGTGCAGCATTAAGAAAAGGTTTTGGTTATTTTTTAAAGTTTCTAAAAAGTCGGTTTTCCAGAAAACCGATCTTTGAAGACCTAGCAGCAGCTGTCATGGTGATATTCTGAATCACCATGGTTGATTACCTATAGCCAATTAGGTTTTGACTGGAAAACGATTTATAAGTTGGCGGACCTCCCTCGTAAGTAGTCGTTACCGACTCACGCATTCGTGCTAATCGATTTACTGCGGCAAGAATAAAATGAATCTTTTCAAAAAATCTTAGAAAAAAAAGAATGAGAGAGGGGGCGTCGGACGATTCAGCTCGATATTTAATATACGCATCTAGTCTTTTTTGTGGAGATGACGCCGATCTTCTTACTTCATTAGAATCGTCATTAAACGAGCTTTAATATCACAGTGCACTGTTTTTTCATTTTGTTTTATTACTAAACGAATTTATATTCTAAATCAGAAGCGAAAAGGTAAGAATCGTACCCGTACTTCTCAATGTTCTCCATCGGAACTCATCTTTTACGCAAGAAAATACCATATCCGGAATCAGCGTCAAAAATCGAGTCGAAAGATACACTTTTTTTATCCTATCCGACCATGATTCTTTTGTCAATCCTTTTCACGCCGGAGAATTACGGAGATTATCAACAACAAATGAAAATCAACAAAAACTTTTGAAATATATATCATTCATGCATAAAAGTTGAGTTCTGTAGACGTCCTTTTTTCCCGATTTTGACACCTCAGTAATTTGAGATTTTCTCCTCGAAGTAGTAAACTCCGTCAAAACATATTACTACCATCTGAAAAGCAGCGGGTTTTCTAAGCTGGTTTTTCTAACAGGCATAGCTATAAAAATAATTACTTAGGTATCAAAAGAGTCAGCTTTTCAAGGTCTACAAAATCCTATGAATGAGATAAATAATAACGTTTAGTTTTGTCACAAAAAAGAGTAAATTTAATTCTAGTTTTCTGCGAAAAACAACAGGTTTGAAAAACTAAGAATACGTAGTTTTTGTATAACATTTAAAATGTAACAGTCGCGTTAAAAAGTCTTTTTTATAGATCAGAATATCAGAATCCATTTGCAAAGAGCTATATGATAGTCAGTCGATTGTAAAGAGAACGCGACTAGAATTTTCGCAGGCAGAGCATGTGGAAAGCCAAAGGAAGGTTCTAAAGTTTTGTCGAACACATGCAATCCAGCGCTTGGTTTGAAGGCTATACACGGTAACCTACAGTCTACGAAAAAAAACGGGGGAGGGGAAGAGACGGTGGTTTCTCTAACCCTAGGTTTCGGACCGTCAAGCCTGAGCCTTGCCAAACTTCAAAACGCTTCGGCGCCCCTGGTACTAATACGCAACCAACGAGGTCTAAAATAAACCTTTTTTTGTATAGCGTCTACTCTTCTACCTACATGTACCAAAAGCCATCATAGCTTATTCGAAAAGTTGATTCACTAAAGGGAACTTTAGGTACTCTGAAAATCAGCATCCAGAGCTAATATTTTCCGAATATAGTTTGGTAGCAAACCTTGATGCCAAAATTCAGTATTAAGTTAACATTGGTTCACCTGCCAGAAACTGACGCTTAATTCTTTCTCGTATCACAGCATTTTACCTTTTGTTTCCGAAAGATTTATCTTAGCTTAGGCTAGGAAACGTTGGCTCTCTGTTTGCTGTGTTCTTACAGAACCCTGTTTGTTTTTACAAGACAGATTACATACTGGTTGTAGTTGTGGTAACCGTTGTGGTATCCGTTGTGCTGGCTGAAAGTAAATTTAAAACAGATATAGACTGCATTAAAAGAATTTTAAAACGAGCTTATAGTTTTTCTTACTCGTAACATTTTGTGGAGGATGAAATTTTTTGCAAGGTCCGTGCAGACGTTTTGAAAATTTGGTATAAAGATTGATAACAGTTTCAAAAAAATTGGAAGAAACTATATAATAATTTTCTGAAGTAAAAGGGTTGACACAGTAAAAGATCCTCCGCACGACCTCCTCTTGTAAAAATCGAAATAGAAGACTCCTTCTTTAATATAAACTTTATTCTTTCAGAATACAAGCACAAAAATATTCCATTATAGTACTGTAAGCTAAAAACTAGCGAAAAGAGCAAAATCTATTAAATGGTATCAACTTTGGAATAAATTTGCTTATGATTTGTACTTTCTATTAATCTCAATAGGGTGTATCAAATAAGATGTCTTTCCTTTCTTTCACTTTTTG